ATATATATATATATATATATATATATATATATATATATATATATATATCTTGATATAGTTTCAATAATTATTTTATGTCATTGGGAGCAGAATTAGTAGAGAAAGAAGATACATACCGTATATAGAAAACGTGTGAAAAAGAAAAAAAAAACGAAACGATATTATAAAAAAGGGGGTAAAATGTACACGCGCAAGGAGTTAGCAGCGGCTTATAGAAAAGGTCCTTTTTTACAAAATTTAAAGGACACACACTCAACGAAGTTCCACGTCCGTTTTTCTTACTCCTGGCTCGTGTAATTAATCCGATAAAGAAGAAAGAATAAGAATGAGAGAAAGAGAGAGAGAGAGAGAGAGAGAGAGAGAGAGAAACAGAAAGAGAAGAAAAGAACGCTTAACTCACTCGGGTCTCGACTGATTTGTAAAATTCTCTAAAGGAATATTAAAATAGTCAATTTTCCGGTTTGACGAATCCCATATGGGGAACGTGACGTATATCGATAAGCTCTTGTATGAATACTGTAATTAACGTATGTGAGTGTGACGTCGGTCGACGTGTTATATCGTATAATTGGTCCCTTTCCCTAAAAACAAAAGCATCGGACTCTTTATTATTCGCTCGATGTTGAGTTTACTTTAAATAACCATTTAATTTTTTTTTTTCTTCTCGATAATAATTGTGATATATTGAGTTTGGATCTTTAACGCAACGTCTCCGAAGCATTATTCAAATCTTAAATAATTTTGTATTATATTTTTTATTTTTTGCGAGGAAAATCCTTCGAACGCAAGAAAACATCACCATGATGATGATGCATAAATACCTTGCATATCCCGCTAAAAAGTCTCGCTCATTCGCTAAAAAAAATAATTAAGAATTTTCACGTTATATATATATTATATATACACACACATACACACATACATACACACATAAGATTATTATCGTTATCGTTATTTAGCCATTATTATTATTATTATTATTATTATTCATCATCGATTCGCAAATCCATAAGCGCGAAAAAAAAGAAAATAATAATAATTAAATTATCGTGGATTAAACAAAAAAACAAAAAAATTAAACGAAGGAACGATGCCAAATTTGTCGAGAAAATTCATAAAAAAAAAGTAAGAACGATTTCTTCCTTTTAAAATTATATTATTAAAATAGCAACAACGCGTTCTCCAATGTCGAGGTTCCTTCGCTTCGTTATCATTATCCGATTTTATGAATGAACAACAAGGCGTTTATGTATATCTCTGTGTACGTAGCATGCATCAACGATCCGGCGATCCGAATTTTGTGCGAACCGTTCGAATATTATTCCCTCTCCCTTCCCCCCCTATTCACCGTTTTATGACACAAAAACAAATTAATTGGACCGGACAATTTGATCATTTGATAATTTTTTTTTTATTCGTACGGTTTATTATTGGGTAGAAAGAATCACGTCGTTATTTATGTATGTATATTTATAATTAAGTACCGAAATCTTGTGCCGTAAAATACTCTCTCGCCTATCGTGTATAATATCAACCTACCTCTTAAAAAAAAAATATTCGTAATCCGAATTATCCGAGTTAAAAAGATATGCAGATATACGAATATTCGATTATTAGAAGAAGAAGAAGAAGAAGAAGAAAAAAAAAGGAAAAAAGGACAAAAAAAAAATAATATGTCGAATCATCGAAAAAAAAAAAAAAAACAAGAGTAAATCTTTTTGTGGAAAATTTTGTTCATTTTGTTTGGTTTTTTTTTTTTATTCTCTCTTCTCTCATAAGGGGGTATATTAAATCTCCTCTTGGAAAATAGATTTTTCTCTCGAATACAAATCGAATCATTTAGAAAAAAAAAAAAATCGAAGAAAATATTAACACATCAGCAACGATCTTATTATCATTATTAGACGAGTCGGAAGAATTTTTTCAATTTTTAAATAGGCGCACGGATATCACGTTTTTTGGCGTCTTCCTGTAAAATAAACTCCACACGTTCCAAAGATAATTATCTGTTTTTTTTCTATTTTTTTTTTTTTATATATATTATATAAATATATATATATATATATATATTAATATGTATTAGTAGTGATCGAAGATCTAAAACGAGTGATAGATAATTTTACCAAAGAACAACAATTAACAACAACAACAACACCCACGCGTCATTCGTCGTAAGATCATTTATTTATTTATTTATTTAATTATTTATTTATTTATTTATTTATTTATTTATTTAGATTAATTTAGAATTAATTTAGAGTTTATTTAGAATTTATTTTCGTAACGCCGGCAACACCATGTGACGATGAGTCGGATAGGAAATAGAGCAAAAAATAAAAAAAAAAATGAAAAAATGGAACAAAAATTAAAAAAGAGAAGAAAGAAAGAAAAAAAGAAAAAGAGAAATATCGTAGATCAAGATTTAATTCGATAAAAGGAAAAGTAAGAAAGAGGCCGTAATAAAAGTAAACAACATGACGTTCCTTCGTGAAAATATAATTGTTCCAATTATAGTAAAACGAAATCCCGAATTTCCCCTGAATTGTTTTCGATCGAACCTTGCCCATTTTTGGTCCCCGCGCACAAATGTCATTTTTTTCCAAACACATCCCTTTTTAACATCGTATCGAAAATTTCCCCCTCCTCACATTCCCCATTATTATTCACATTCGCGAGATAAATCTGACGGTTTGACTCGATATAATACTCAATCATATCTGCGTTAAATAAAAGAAAAAAAAGAAAAAAGAAAAAAGAGAGAGAGAGAGAGCAAAGTCTTAACGGCCATTCTACATATCCGGTAAAAAAAATTTCATTGCACTGCCTAATCGTGCTTACGAATAGGAAAAAAAAGTAGAAGATGAAGATGAACATGAACATGAACATGAGCATGAAGATGAAAATGAAAAGTTAGATGAACGAATGATAAATGAGGACACACGTTTGAAAATAAAAAAAGAAAAAGAAAAAATACGCAGCCGACGAGAAAGAAGCTGTGTCATGTGCGGGCCCAAAGCCGTGGAAAGGTTCCAAGAGAATAGGGAAAGAAATAATAGAAAGAAAAAAAAACAGAAAAAAAAAACAAGAAAAAAATATAAGAAAAGTAATCGAGAGTTATAATTTGCGGCCGTCCGTCGGCGAGACGAAGAAATCATTGTAATATATAAATTCATTAAATTACATAATGTAATGCTGCCACCGACACACGTCTAACACACTCCCTTTAGTACAATTACGATATACACCTATATACAAATACACACACACACACACACATGCGATAATATACAACTATACACTCGAAACCAAACAGAGACAGACCACAAATTGAGAGCAAACAAATTCGTGCGTGTAATAATATACGTGTATATATTTTAAATCGTACAAATATATAGACGTATGTAAAAACGCATTACACATGGAAAAGAAAAAGAAAACAAAAACAATCTACCGTATGATTAATTGAATTAATATTTATTATTAACGATTAATTATTATATTATTACCACTATATTATCTATACAATTTGTACTTTACATTTCAGTTCGGATGAAATAAATGCCTTCTTTTTCATAAAAAAAAAAAAGAAAAGAGAGTGAGAGAGAGAGTGTGTGAAAGAGAAAATGAAAGAGAATAGAAAATAGTTTGAAAAGGTAATTAAAAATCATCCACATTTCCGGGGTAAAAACTTTGTCATTTATTTAAATGTTATCAACGGATTTTTGTTCTTCATTTATAATTTATAATCCTTGCCACGACTCTTGCTACGATTATTCCTTCGAGGTTTACAAGGACATCTTTTAATCTGCTTCGATTTTGGAAGTTCGCTTTGTATTTGTTGCCACAGTTTATTTTTCAAATGAGAACCGAAGTAAGTAAGTCCGCAATCTCTACAAAAACAAAAATATATTTCTTTTTTAATATTAATTAATTAATATTAATAATAATATTAATCGTTGAAACGTACGTAAGTATAGTATAGTCGACAGTTTTAGTAACGTGCAATGCTAATAGAAAAAAGGTTATAGAAGTTCCGTAGCTAAGCGCAGCCATAGACGATTTGTTGGCTACGAAGGTTTCGGCGACCTCGTTGTATCCATAATCTTGAAGTGTCTGTTTTTATCGAGGAATCTCGTGAGAAGTATTTAACAATATGAAAGAAATCATATATGGTTGCACAAATCAGGATATTTCACGCTTACACAAGCGTGTTTGTATGTGTATACATCATTTTAAAGGTGTAGTAAGTGAATTGTTTTTTAATCTTTATCGCTACGAATACGATCAACGGAATGAACGGTAGATCGTTACGTTACGTGGCAAATGGCCTTGGGTAGAGTAGTTAACATGAGCACATCGATGGGTGTCCAAATGCAGGCGATCGAGAACTCCAGAAAGAATGCTGTCGTAAGAAACTACACAATCCAAAAATACAACGAATAAAAAAAAAGGTATACACGAAATATTATGATAAAAAAATATCATTGAAATAAGCTTATTAACCTCGTAAATGCAAAGTAACATTGGATTAGGTTTGCGAAAGGATTGAGGAAATAGTGTCGATTGTGCCACGATGACGTAGACTCCAGCAGCAAAGAGGAAACTAGTTATCGGTGGTCCTGTGATCAATGGTTCGCCAAAATCATCTTCCATAGCATTGGCGAAACACGTTTTGAAAATGGACACGTCTAAGCTGTTCAACATCAACGCCCATATCGTGCAAAGCAATTTAGCCATTACGTAGGGTCAACGTAGGACATTTCAATTAACGATTTTTTATTTGGATATCTACGACATCACCCATATCTCTTTTATTTATACTAATATATATGTATATATATTAATTTCTTGAAAGATTTTTCTAACTCTCGAAAAGAATTATGAACAACGAGGTGAATTTCGTTAAATCTCGATGATTATCTTTTGTTTTTTTTCTATCTCTTTCTCTTTCTCTCTTTCTTTGATTTTTGACATTGTGACATTTATGAGATAATTAATTGATAACCTAATTATCATGTTCCGGTAATAGTTAATTTAATTGACGGTGAAATTGATGGTTGATCTACGAAACGTTACATTGTCCGTTTATTATACAAAATGGACACAGTTAAGGAATATGTAGGATGTATCAATCCTCATTGGGTAGCCGTAGTTTCAACAGGAATGTATACTTATCTCCGACACATATGTATAATTGGTTTGTGTTTCGAGGAAGAAAATAATCCACCATTTGATCCTTCTTATTCTTCGATACTTTTCGTTTTTTCTGCATTGTGCCTTTTAGCAGAGTACAGACTTTGGCCTAGATCATTGAAAGAACCACCGATACAACTTCTATATATTTACGAGGTTGTTCAGTTTAGTTTTTCTTAATTTTTATTTGCTCATTTTCTCTTCTCTTTCTATATTAATTTTTATCGGTTAGATGTTGGTGGCTTCGTTAACTACGAACCTTGTAACTCGTGCTATCTGGATACCAATGATGCACGTAATATTTTGTCTAACACAAGAGTCAAGCACATGGGTAAGCAATTCAAATTATAATAGAAATATTTTACTTGATGAAAATACAAAAATCAGAATCTTAAGTAATTAGTTAAAGAAAAAAACTCAATAATTACGATAATTCGTAAACTAATTATTGACAAAATTGTTTTCATTATTATTTTTAGTTATTATGGTTAAATACGACAATAGGTCTTAGTCGGTATTCATTAGTAACGACATTGGCTTATTATCTTGCCAAGGAAAATGCAGCTACACATATGGCATTTTGTTTATCTTTATTGTCTTTCGTATGGATGTTAGACGCCACTGAATCTTTGGACACTATTTTGGATATCTGGGCCAAGTAGTAAAATGATAAGATAAAATAAGTAAGAAACGCGTTAAACGAATTAGACTTTGTTTAATTTTATCATATCTTTAATTGATTTTTAATTATTTGCATTACAAAGTAAATATTTATGTATATATTCAATATATACATAAATACAAATATATAAATACATAGACACAAATTCATATTTAAGTTTTTTTTTATCGACAGATTAAATAGAACATTAATTATTTATGCATTTACATATTAAAACATAGAAAAATGTATTATCAAGTTACATCTTTTGTGTTCAGGATCGAAGAACCATTTAAGAAAAATTTGAAATCTAACAAGTCATTCGAAAAAAGAATCTCTTTTCGAAATCCTGAAGTGTCGGATTGGTTTACTTACAAACTCACATCTAACGATAAACGATAAATCCATGAAAAAATCATAAATGTTATTAAACCAATGTTATTCGTTGTTTGTTTCACGTAAACGTCTCAAAAAATATGCGATATAAAGTCGTTTTGTTAAAAAAAAAAAAGATTTATTTAAGATTTTAAAATAAAATAATCATCGAACCAAAAGGTGAATGATTTTTTTCTTATTCGTTAGAGAAAAAAAAAAAGAGAAGAAAAGGGAAAAATAGGATTTATGAGAATAGGTACTTTCTTCACGAATCCGAATAATATTTTAACCACATCTCGACATTGCCAAAGTGCTTGAGAGAAGGAAACATGCCCTTTGGTATTAGAACCCTAATAAATAATTCATCACATTTCCCGATAGCTTTTCCTTAAAGTGCTTTGAAGAAAATGAAACGTACTATCATTCCGTATAATAAACTTTCCTTATTATTTAATCGATTAGTATTTTATTCTCAAACTACGTCAACACAAGATAAATTACTAAAATATATAAATAAATGATATTATCATAAGGTATAAGGATAATTGTTGATAAAAGATAATTTCCTTACTCTATATTTAGTTCTTGAGAAGTCATGTCTTATCTCGTTGTTACCCGCATAGAAGACCTTCATTAATATTAAGTTTTGTTTCAAACGAAGCATGTAATAATTCTACAAAGTTCATTTTGTCAAACGATTATATATATATATATATATATTAAAAATTTTCTAATGGAATATTAGGAATGATTTTAGATTAATTGAATTTTTCATTAAATTTCAACATTCCATTGATATTTTTTTCAGATTTACTCGATCGTAAAATAGATGATGATACAAGGTAAAAGTAGATACGATTGTTTCAGACCAAAAAAAAAAAAGAAAAGAAAAAGAATCGTCCGTTCTGTTGATTATCCTACTTGATGGTAACCATGACAACGGCACATTTTATCGAGAAGAACTTACGCTTGTTCTCCATGATTTCAAAATGAAGAAAAGGAAAAAGCGATTGGAAGGAAAAAATATAAAAAGAAAAAGAGAAACGGGTGAGGGGAATTCTCGAACATAGTCCGAGAGGAGAGTAGAAAAGTCAGAAAGATGTTGAGAAGAAAAATCTCAGAGTATTTCTTTCTTTCTTTCTTTCTTTACTCAACGACCACTTCCACTCTCTTTTCTTTTCCAATAGGAAATAAAACTTCTCTCTCTTTCTCTCTTTTCCTTTTTTTTCTTTTTCCTTAAGCTTTTAGGATTTACTTCCTTAGCTCGATCTACTTTCGAGACGAATTAACGTTTCCCAAGAGCGATTCTTTTTTACAATTGGTGAACAAAAGACAAGACTTATTTTCATTTTTAAAATTAACGATCCTCTGATAACGTAAAACTTTTTTTTTCTTTTCACAAATCTTCAAGAAATAACAACGATCCTTGAAGATCTTTAATAACATTATAATGTGATATTTTATTTAATTTCTTTCATATTTGTTTAATAAAAAAAAGAAGGAACACAAACGTATTTATTATTTATGTAAAAGATCGATTATATTAATCAGGATGAATCGATGTATATAACACGAAAGAAAACCAACTAATAAATCGTCAAAGTTCGATAAAACGAGAAGCTACAGGTTTCTACATTCCACTTTTAAAACTTGTTGCTCTGCTTCTTTAGAAAGACCTTAACTTTCAATAATTACTTTTCGATTATTTCTTTTTCTACTTTCTTCCATCTCTTTTTTAATTTAAATTAATTTTTTTAAATTGATCAAAAATTGTGTATATCCGTTAGATCGAGTTTTTAATTTGTTCATTAAAATATTCAAAATGAAAATGATTAATAAAAAAAAAAAGATATCATGTATAAAATGATATCATGTGCAGATCACACATGTTAGAAATGAAATCTTCAAAAAACTAAGTTTTGAGAGAATGAGACGAATGCAGAGTATCAAAAATAAGATAATTGTAGCGGACGTTTTGGAAAATTTGAGAACCGCGTGCGGATGGAAATAAAGAAGCGGGTGTATTGAGTCGTTATGAGTAGTCGCTAGTCGCCAGTCTTCATCAGTCGTTGTTCGTCGTCATTCAGTTGAAAAAGTTCAGTTGCGTATATTGGTTGTTATCATAAGATTATGAAGCCTTTATTGTACATTTTCTAATACCAATTTTAAAAATATTTTGTCAGTAGGATTAAAATGAGTGTACATTAACCTCGCACCTCTACACTAAAACCAATCCTACATGTATAAACAGGGTGTTCAAAAGAAAGCATTCAATATTTATATGGTAGATAGGGCACACTATGTTAAGTAAAATAGTTCTGGTAAACATAGGTCGAAAGGTCAACCGTTTCTGAGATATAAACGTTTTTATTTGCTATTATCATAATTGACTTCCTACTGAATTGCCATTATTTACAGAAGATTTTCTACCTGTCCACCATCCATTTCTACACACGCTTAGCATCTTCTTCTTAAAGAGTCGCGAACTCTCTTGAAAATTCCCCATTTTTGTCGAATTACTTGACAAGTATGGTGGACTCGGTTACGTAATTCTTCTACGTTATTTATTGGCGAGGAATACACTTGGTTTTTTAAATAACCACATAAAAAAAAGTTCAAAGGGTTTACATCGGGGGATCGAGGAGGCCATGCAACTGGTCCACCACGTCCAATCCACCTTTGACCGAACACCGTGTTTAAATGTTCTCTCACATCACGTAAAAAATGAGGTGGTGCTCCATCATGCGTGTACCACATCGATAGCAAGATTTAAATGAGCCGGATCTACAAAGTCGTTGGTGAAGTTTTTGAAAGAGTGTATGAGAGGGAGCCCTTCGATTAGGAAATTTTTCCGCGTAAAGACGTTTTGCCGCTATAGCACTTCCATTGGCACGACCATACATAAAATGCATGTCTGCCATTTCTTCGTTTGAATAATATGCCGACATTTTAATGAATCTTCGTAACTATCTAACAGCTACAATTGCTGATCCACGACTAACCTCAGAACGCGATTTATAAACACTGAAGTAAATAACGCATGCCATGGAAGCAAGTAAGTCATGATTTTAGCAAACAAAAATGTTTATATCTCAGAAACGGTTGACCTTTCGACCTATGTTTATTAAAAAATTTTTACTCAACACAGTGAGCCCTATCTACCATATAAATATTGCATGCTTTTTTTTGAACACCCTGTATATATATATATTAGGGTGAATCAAAAAATGACTAATTTTTTTTTCAAGTGCCACGCAAAAATGGGTTCCTAGACACCTTAAAACAATTCTCACCCAATATGAGCTCTTAATTTTAATAGGAAGATCCTCCGCATCGCAGTTTTTTATTTTTTTTTCAGTCCAATAGATTAAAATTCATA